ATAAATAAAAAAAAATAAAAAATAAAAAAAAAATAAAAACAAAATCATTGCAGGGTTATCCAAGAGCCTAAATACTTCCAAGTAATATAGTAAGAGCTGGGCGTGGTGGTGCACCCCGGTAATCCCAGCACTCCAGAGGTTTCAGGCTAGAGGATTGCAGCCAGCTTGAGGCCAGCCTGGGCTACCTAAGATGTTCAAGGACAACCTTGACTACATGAGACCCTGTCTCAAAAAAAAAACAAACAGACAGGACTTAGTATCTCGATACGTTAACAGTGGTCACTGTTGAAGGTTTATTTGGTATTGTAGTTGGCGTGACACTTGGTTGCACTGTTCACAGGTAGATCTTTCCTTTTTACAGTACACGGCAATGCACACTACTGATACATATATACTGCACAAAGTAAAATCCTTTCCAACAGTTATGCACAAGACATGCAATACCCATTTGTACACTGGATCCCAGGCTGTGACCTACTGGGGAAAAGCTCAGACGAGGCTTGGCTGGTGAAGCTGTATAGCAGAGTGACACTGGAGCCTGTGTGGCACTGGCCGTGGTGTCAGGCGGTGGGCTACTTTACACTAACCAGGACTATACAAGTGCAAGTACCATCAGCATCAGGATAGGACTGGGGGGCTCTGAGAACCATTTCTATTTCTAACTGTGGGAAGCCCATGTTTTCCCCAGGCCATCTTTATAGTACTGCTTCAACCACACATCGATAAAAAGGACAAGTGGCACAACCTCCAACTAAACGCTCCTGCAGCCTAGACAGTGACGTGGGGACACTGAAGACTAAAACTGCAGCTCCTTCTGGATCGACCACAGGGTATCCGCGCTCTTCTTCAAACGCCCCTCCTCCTCAGGAGTCAGAGTCACCTTCACAACATCGGAGATTCCATTTTGCCCCAGGACACAAGGGACACTAAGGAAGACATCATCCTTTATTCCATAGAGTCCCTGGGAGGAAAAGGTTCCAGGTGTTCAGTTATGACATTATGAACAGTATAAAACAGTCTTTAAAATAGTAACAGGTACGACACAGTCATTAAAATAACAAGATGTCCTATGTCCTTTTTTGTGTTGTTTTCTGGCCTTGATGTCCTCTCTAAAAGAAAAACTTTAAAAATAAATAAATAAATTTATTTAAAAAAAATCTTAACAGTAAAAAAAAAGCCTGCCAAGTGTGGTGGCGCACACCTGTAATCCCAGCACTCAGCGGACTGAGGCAGGAGGCTCAAGTCGCAAGTTTGAGACCAGCCTGGGCTACAAAGTGAGCTCAAGGCCAGCTTGAACTGAATAGCAAGACCCTGTCTCAAAAAGACAAAAATAAATAAATAAAAACCTTAACTATTACTATTATATATAGTACCTTCCAATTTTTATTGCATAATGCTGTAGCAATGCTGTACTTTCTATTTACTCAAAAAAAAAAAAAAACAACAACCAAAAACCACACCCACTTACATGAGCTTTTTCATCATGTTGTCAAGTAACTATGTGCTACTAAACAATGTAGGGGACAGTAATCCTACTGGAACCACTTCTTCCCAAAAGTAAGTTCTGAGTACATTAATTTATTTCATTTCACTGAATGACTGAGGACTTCAATTAATCAAACTGCTTTTCTCGGAAGAATCTTGTTTTTTTTTCCGTCTTAAAAAAAGCAAACAGGAAATAGGGCTAATGATGTAGCTCAGTGATAGAGCACTTACCTAGCATGTGCAAGACCCTGGGTTTCGTCTCAGCGTGGAACACACACGGACACACACACACACACACAACACACACAAATAAAGCATTCAATACAGTGTATCTGTACATAGACCAACCTTAATCATGGTAGAAATTGGATGAACCCTCCTAAGATTCTTCATTATACTTTCTGCCAGATCTGCCACAGACAGTCCAATGGCCCAGGATGTATAGCCTTTCAGTTTGATCACTTCATACGCACTGTGGAGTGGGGAAGGATAGGGAAGAGCAGAAAGAACAGGGAGAGAGAAACAAAGAAAAACAAAGTGTTTGCTTAATATATGCCCTATATGGTAAGTAACATATCTCTTTTTTTGGGTATTTTTGGGACAGAATCTTGTTATGCACTTCAGGCTGGCCTTGAGCTCACTTCGTAGCCCAGGCTGCTCTTGAACTCATAACAATCCTCCTGCCTCAGCCTCCCAAGTGCTGGGATTACAGGTGTATGCCACCATGCCCAGCTGGTAAGTAACATATCTATAAGTAACCCTTGGACATGTACACAGGACATTATGAACAGTATTGTTAATAACAGCAAAAATAACAAGGCCAGTGCCTTCTATCAAAATGGATAAACTATGGCATATTTGCCAGGTGGCACGGCTCATATTTATAATCCCAGCATTCAAGAGGTTCAAGCAGGAGAATCCCAAATTCAAAGACAGACAGAGTAACATAGAAAGTGTGAAACCAGGGCACTGGGGATATAGCTCAGCAGTATAGCACCTGGCTGGCAAGTGCAAGGTCCTAAGTTCAATTCCCAGCACCAAAAAAAAAAAAAAAAAAAGGTCAGACCAACCTGGACTATATAGTAAGAACCTGTCTCAAAGAAAAATTGCCAGGCATAACACATGCTTATGTAAGCCCAGCATTGGGGAGGCTGAGGCAGGATGATCACCAATTCAAGCTAGCCTGTACTACAAAACTCTTTCTTAAAAAACAAGCAAAATTGTACTACACTGGTTTAATGGAATATTCTATAAGTGTCAAAAAATGAACCTAGAGCTGGCTCCAACAAAACTGGCAACTCTTAGAAAGGGAATGTGAGGGGTGGGGATATAGCTCAGTGGCACAGCACCTGCCTGGCAAAGTGCAAGATCAGGAGTTTGATTCCTGGTACCAAAAAAAAAAAAAAAAAAAGAAATGGATGAGGCAGGCAGGTGTGATGGTGCACGCCTGCAACCCCAGCACTTGGGAGGCTGAGGCAAGGGGATCACTGAGTTTGAGGCCAGCCAGAACTGCATAGGAAAACCCTGTCTCAAAAAGACAAACAAAAAAAGAAATAGAACAGTCAGGTGTGTTCGCTCATACCTGTAATCCCAGCACCTGGGAGGCTGAGAGAGAAGAGCTGCCGTGAGTTTGAGGCCAGCTTGGGCTACACAGTTGAGTTTAAGGCCAGCCTGAATTACAGAGCGAGACCATGTCTCAAAAAAATTCAAATGAATGAATGAATGGAATACAGGAGCAGTGGCCGCAAAGAAAACAAAACAACAAAAAAAGTAAATCTGGGGCCTGGGAATGTAGCTCTTGCTAACCATGAGCAAGGGTGTCGGTTCTCTTTGATGTCTCACACCACAAAATAAAAAAAAGCAAAGCCAGGTGCAGAGGTACATGTCTGTACGTGGGACGCAAATGAAGGATCCCTAGTTTGAGGTCAGCCTGCGCACCTTAGTGAAAGCGTCTCAAAGTATAACAGAGCTCAGAGAAGGCTTTGCGGATCAATTCCCAGTACTGCAAATGAAACAAATGTAAAGTAAACCCAGGGCTGGAGGGCTGCCTCAGTGGTAGAGAGCACCTGGCTAGCGTGCTTCAGGCCCTGGATTTGATCCCCTGCTACTACAAAAATGAAGAAAAAACAAAACAAAAGAAAACCACTCGAGGGGCTGGGGATTTAGCTCAGCGGCAAAGCGTCTGCCTGGCAAGCGCAAGGTGGTGAGTTCGGTTCCCGGTACCGGAGAAAAACCAAAAAAAAAAAAAAAAAAAAAAAAAAAAAAGAAAACCACTCGAACTAGAAAAACTAAATCTAAGATTCCATATAACATGCTTGATTCAAGATTATCTCAAGAGCATCAGGGAGACAGAGGGGTGGGGCAAAGTGCACCTACACTATTTAACACAATCAGATATTCAACTTACAGACCTGAGGGCTATACACGAAAAGTAAATAACACCTGGGGCTGGGGATTTAGCTCAGTGCACAGCGCCTGCCTGGCAAGCGCAAGGTCGTGAGTTCGATTCCCAGTACCAGAAAAAAAACAAGAAAAGAAAAAAAGAAATTTCCTTACTTCAACAATTTATTTTATTTTGTTTTTGTTTTTGGGACAGGGTCTGGTATCCCTGTGTTCCCCAGGTTGGCCTCAGAAGTTATGATCCTACTGCCTCAGCCTCCTTAAAGCTGAGATTACAAGCATGTACCACCATGCCAGATTTAACAATTTCTAGTAATTAATAGTTGCTTTTGATCTTAATTCCTTTCTGAATCTTGATCATGCTTATGATTCTAATATCATCTGAATAAACAAGCTAGTATTTTATTTGTAGAGGATATAATACGAGCTTTGATTTAAAAAATTTTATTCCTGCCGGGCATGGTGGTACATGTTCTTAAAAAAAAAAAAAAAAAAAAAAAAAAGTTCAAAAAGATTTTATTTCTTCCGGGATATAGCTCAGTGGCACAAGCACCGGCCTGGCAAGTGCAAGGTCCTGAGCTCGATTCCTGGTACCGAAAAAAATTTCATTCCTAAGTTAATGAATTATATATATGTTTTGTTGAAGTGTGAACCGACTCTCCTCATAGGGTAGATTTACTCTAATTTGTTTTATCTTAATTGTTTACAAAAGAAGCAAAGAGAGATGTATCTGACTCTTGAGAATTATAGCATTAAAAAGATACTTTAAGGCTGAGCGTGATACCATATACTTGTAACCCCAGCACTCTGGAGGCTGAGGCAGAAGGATCGTTGCAAATTTGACAGCAGCCTGGGCTACAAGGCCAGCCTGAACTGCATAGCCAGACCCTGTCCCAAAAAGACAAAAAAAAAAAACAAAACAAAAAGATACTTTAGCATTACTAGCTGTAACTCTGAAGTATGTTTACCTACCTATGTGCCGCGTTTTACTTCATCACCTGCTGCTGCGGGGTTGTATGGCTGTGTGACACATCAATTTTTACTGCTGGAGGAACTGCCTCACTGCTTGAGTGCTGGTAGCACTTCCCATTCCCACCCACACGTACGTACCTGCGCATGGTCCAGCATCCCCACATCCCCGCCAGCACTGGATGCTGTTTATTTCTCCTCCCTCCAGCACCGGGGCTCAGACCCAAGGGCACTCTATCACTCATCTCTGTCCCCTGTCCTTTTGTTTTGAGACAAGGTTTCCTAAATTGCCCAAACTGGCCTCAAATTTTCCATCTTCTTGTATTAGCCTCAAGGAGCTGAGAGGATGAGCCTCTACGTGGCTCTATCTGCAATTTTTTTTTTTGGAGTCAGTGTCTCACTCTGCAGTTCAGGCTGGCCTTGAACTCACTATGTAACCCAAGCTGGTCTTAAACTAACAGCAACCTTCCTGCCTCAGCCTCCTGAGTGCTGGGTCTATCTATATTTTTTAACCATCTTTTTGTTAACTTAGTATGATTCTGAAAAAAGCTTAAGAAAACAGGTTTTCTCTTTATCATCAAGTACTCAAATGCAAATCACATTAAAACTTCTATCTTTGAGATAAAAATAAACTTGAATTTCCTATGTTGCCAAATTATGAATCTATTACCTGTCAACCACCTGTTTGTGAACCTCTTTCCAATGCTCCTTATCCCCATCAGTTCCTAACTCGGGGTGCAGATTCTTCAGGGCGACACCGGCAACATTCACTCCGCTCCACACAGGGACTGAAAGAGGGAGTACAGCATATGCTTAATTTCACACACCACCACACCAGTATTATGATCAGTACGTTCAATTTGATATTACAGAGCTGGGCTACCCCTCTTCTGGCACTGTGCTTCCCCTAAAAGACCTAACTGGAAAATAAACCCTAGCTGGCCATTACCAGTACGTAGTGAAGATTACACCTCACTACTCTCTTGCTCTGTGGCTACTCTGTAATAGCAGGTAAGACAAGGATAGGTTGGTTGGGGCTGGCATTTTTGAAGCCTAGTTTCCTTTTTCTTTTTGTCTTTTTGGGACAGGATCTAGCTATGCAGTTCAGGCTGGCCTTGAGCTCACTATTGTCCAGTTAGGTCTTACTTTTAGGGAAATATAGCAGACTATCCACAAGTGTCCTAACTCACATTTAGACTAGATTTCCATTTCTTAGGTTCTATGAAACTATACATTGTATCTTCTAACCTGTTTCCCTAAGTATTATTAGAAATTATTTATCCATATATACTTGAAATACCAAGACTGTATACAAACATAAAGGAATTTTCTTGATGTAAGAGAACTCTTGAGAACTTTGTACAAATTGTGTCATTTTCCAATGTGCCTATAACAATGTTTTCATGCACTTTATTCAGGTTACCTGACCTTCCCAAGGCAGGGAGTGGAGGCCAAGTACTGATAGCTGTGATATGAAGTACTGATATGACAGTAACAATTATGGTCTAAAACTTCCAAAGACTGAAGTGTAGCTCAGTGGTAGTGTGGTTAGTTACATGAGGACCTGGGTCCTATTCATGGCATCAAAATAGATAGCACATCCATGGTTATTTAATTTACTTCCATAAAAGTAGTGTGGAAAGAAGGAAAGAAGAAGGAAAGAAGGAAAGAAGAAAAGAAAGAAAGAAAGAAAAGAAAAGAGAGTTCATTTCACTCTCTACCCTCCTCGCTATAAAATGTCATATAAAATAGCTAAAAATCTTAATTCTTAGCATATAATTATAGAAACGGAAGATCCCAGGAAACCACTCTACCTTTATTAGTGGATATTCCCCGTACAATCTCTTTGGAACAGAAAGAGCAAAGAGCCCTGCTCACCGCTGGAGTCTCCGTGCTCCCCGAGGATCCAGCCATGGCAGCTCAGGGCGTGAACTCCCAGCCTTTCGCCCATCAGGTAGCGGAACCGGGCTGAGTCCAAGTTGCAACCACTTCCAATAACACGGTTCTTGGGAAAGCCGCTGATCTTCCAAGCCACGTAGGTCAAGATATCCACTGAGAAAGCATTTAGGGATTAGATAATGATTAGCTACTGGAGATATACGCTTCAGGGCCAGGCGTGGTGGCGCACGCCTGTAATCACAGTACTCAGGAAGCTGAGGCAGGATTGCCATGAGTTCGAGACAGCGTGGGCTACACAGTTCAGGGTCAGCCTGAACTACACAGGGAGACCTTGCCCCCCACCAAGAAAGATACACGGTTGTGAATGATTTTGATATTGATTGTGACTACTTGACGTTTTTATTAATATTGTTAAATCGTCGTGTTGCTTATCTCAGGTCCATCAAGTACTTAAGAAGTACTGTATTATTTCAAGGAAATAAACTGTATACCAGTACAGAGAATATAATTACTCACACATTGAAGTAAGATCTTGGGCCAGTGCCAGCTATGTGTTCAGAGGCATTATATTCCTTTCACATTTTATAATTTACTATTTTACAGAAACACAAATCTACTCCCAAGAGGGAAATACAGTATGATAAATGAATCAATAAACACATATAAAACAGAACACATACTGTTAAGTTTTTCTACAGCTCATCTGTCTTTATAAAGCTAAAAATCTCACCTGGATTGGAAACAACAAGCAACTTGCAGTGTGGGCTGTACTTTACAACATTAGGAATGATGAACTTGAAGATGTTCACATTACGCTGGACCAGATTAAGACGGCTCTCTCCCTCTTGCTGACGTGCCCCAGCTGTGATAATAACTAGCTTGGAGTTTGCAGTTACATTATAGTCTAAAGGGAAACAAACAGAGTAAGACCTTTAAAAGACTGTTTTTACCTAACCAGCAAAACTTTGTTCCAGCCAGGCATGGTGGTGCACGCCTATAATCCCAGCACTTGGGAGGCTGAGGCAGGAGGATCGTTGGGAATCCCAAGACCAGCCTGGGCTACAAAGTGAGCTCACAGCCAGCCTGAATGGCATAGTGAGACCCTGCCTCAAAAATAAAACAAAATTAAAAAACAAAAACAAAACTTTGTTCCATAAATCTGTGCATAAATGCCCCTACTGCCTTCTACATGTTTCCTTTCCTTTTAAAAAGTTTATAGTTGTGGGCCAGGGATATAGCTCAGCAGCACAAGTGCCTGCCTGACAAGTGTAAGGTCCTGAGTTCAATTCCTGGTAGCAAAAAAATTAAAAAAAAAAAAAGTAAAAAAAATTTTATAGTTGTGGCCCCTTAAAAGGACAGAGTAGTCAATGCTTTCCTTGTAGTCTAGTTTAGGTCATGCCTAACTTTATGTAAGTACAGCTGGGAGACACTGAAAGGAATCGAGTTTATTTTATTCTCCTAACAACTCTTTCTATCTTCCCCAGTTTCTGCTATGTAGGATCAGTGTTCACTTTCCATAATCCCGTTTTTTTACTTGCTTCTTACTTGTTGCCCAGAGACTATCAAACACCCTCTACACACCGCCACAAGCAGGCAGCACCTTTATAACAAAGCATGTTTTTTGAAAAAAAAAAACAAAAAAACAAAGCATGTTTTGCTTCCATACTCTGTGCCAGGATAGTTGACACCAGGAGCTGCCTATCAGGCGAGGGGCTAAGCAGCATGAAAGAGTCAAAACTACCTGCTTAACAGGCTCCTTTACCCTATTCTCAGCCTTGTGTTAATGTGCTGAAAGGAAGTAGGGGAAGCAAAACAAGGTAAGAAGCCAGGCGTGGTGGGGCATGCCTATAATCCCAGCCTGGGCTACAGAGTAAGCTCAAGGTCAGCCTGAATCGCAGTGAGACCCTGTCTCAAAAAGAGAAAAACAAAACAAAAGAACACGTAAGTGATTTAAGCAAGACTAGGGGTACAACTCAGTGGTGGAGCACTTGTCTAGCACGTGCCAGGCCTCAGTTCTATCCCCAGCAAAATTAATTTAGTAATTTAAAACTGAAGTAATGTGTTTCAATGTAGACCTAACGTTTGGAGTTTTATTCATTATATTCTAATTCAGATGATTTCCACATCATGGGCAATCTGGATTTCCATTTGAAACTATTTACTAGAGATTAAAACTTTGATACATAAAATTATTCTAAGGCTCTCCTATCCAGTATAAAAAAAAGTCTGAAGAGCTTAAGATTTCAAGCCTGACGAAGAACGTAAGTCTAGTGTGGACTTTACTAGGCAAGCGCTTGTGCCGCTGAGCTAAACCCCCAGCCCTTCTAGCGTGGACTTTAATATAAACTTGCTGAAACCAACCTTTGCCAGAGACAATTTTTGGTGTTCTAAGAAAAAGGCTGCCATGCTGGAGATCCATCATCTCTCCCTTCAATTTGTCTTCCATGACATCAACAAGAGCAAGTTCATCTGCCAAGTCCTAAAAGACACAAAATGTTTAGTTAAGCCGTAAATTGCTATTTCCAGATTTTTTGCAAGGCACACAAAATTTCTTTTATTTTTCACACAGAAGAGTTTAAATAACTTCCAATTAGGTCAGTTTTACACACTAATTTAAAGTTGTTATTAGGTGATAGTGACCAACAATAAGACATGAAGGGCCAGGGATATAGCTCAGCAGCACAAGTGCCTGCCTGGCAAGCGCAAGGTCCTGAGTTCGATTCCTGGTACACACACACAAAAAGTTAAGTGTGTAATAGGAAGACATGAAATTCAAAAGTGATAGTCTGGACCATCCGCTGGTTATTTTACACATATGCAAACACTAGAAGTAGTTTTGCCTGAAGACTTACACATTGCATTATACTGGTGAGAAATATCCTGACAATTGAACCTATAAAAGTTCATAGGTGCATCTGAGACCAAGAACACCAACAACTGCTTTAATGCAAACGGCAGGTGATGTCATTACCACTACAGAGCTACCCCCAAATCATCTACAATATGAGTGGTCTGCTAAATACTCAGATCCCACACCTGAATCAGAGGCCAAAAAAAAAAGGACCATAGGTGGTTCATGGGGAAAATAGTATCAATTTCTGTTCCAGTAGGTTAAGGAACAGAGTTGTACCACGTGGCCTCACCTAAGAATACACACTGAGCAAGCTTCTGCCTAAGACCCTTCTTTCTTCAATCCATTCCATTTCTGTTCAGAATGCAGAATTTATTTATTTATTTAGTCTTTTTGAGACAGGGTCTCGCTGCGCAGTTCAGCCTGGCCTTGAGCTCACTTTGTAGCCCAGGCTGGTCTTGAACTCACTACGATCCTCCTGCCTCGGCCTCCTGAGTGCTGGGATTACAGGCGTGCGCCACCACGCCCGGCAGAATGCAGAATTTATCACATCGTTGTCCTGTTAGAAATTCCAACTAGAGCCTGGCATGGTGGCTCAAGTCTGTAATTGCAGCACTTGGGATGCTGAGGCAGAAAAGACCTCCACAAATTCAAGGCCTGCCTTAATCACAGAGCAAGAACCTATCTCAAAATAAACAAATAAATAAATCCAAATAGAAAGACAAAATATTTTAATACAGAAAGCTTTCTCAATTACATTTTTTTTTTTTTTTTTTTTGGTCTCTTTGAGACAAGGTCTCACTATACAGTTCAGGCTGGTCTTGAACTCACTTTGTAATGCAGGCTGGCCTCGAACTCGCAATGATCCGCCTGCCTCAGCTTCCCCAGTGCTGGGATTACAGGCGTGCGCCACCACGCCCGGCTTCAGACCTGGTTTTAATGTCCTCACTTTTTTTTTTTTTTGATAAGGGGAATCCAACTCAGGACCTTGCGCTTGGCAGGCAGGCACTTATGTCACTGAGCTATGTTGTAAGAAGTGCAGCTAGGCCTGGTGGTACATGCCTGTAATCCCAGCACTTGGACCAGAGATAAGCCATAAACTATTCCTTTCCATTGTAGGCATGTTAATATAGTGTATTTTAAAAAGTGGTTGCTGGGGCTGGGGATTTAGCTCAGCGGCAAAGCACCTGCCTAGCAAGCGCAAGGTCGTGAGTTCGGTTCCCGGTACCAGAGAAAAACCAAAAAAGAGAAAAACCAAAAAAATAAATAAATAAATAAAAAAGTGGTTGCTCAGCCCTGTAACCTTTAATACTTTTATTATTATCAGTAAGTTTCAAAGTGTTCAAAGTGTACATATAATTCCCATAAATTATGTGACAGAGGAACCTAAATCTTTTTTACATACAATGTACTAATACAGTCCTTGGAGACAGCATAGAAGAGGGTAGGGCCAAGAGTGGTGAACTTTTTCTTACCTTCATTAAGATACTGATGGCACAGGCCATGCCAACAGCACCAACCCCGACAACTGTGATCTTATTCTGGGGCACCTGTTCCTCCTTAAGGAGATTCACAATCAGCTGATCCTTGAGACCGGCCATCTTGGACTTGGAACCGACAGGAACCTATAGGAGGAAAACAGTGTCATTGGGTCCCTTTGAAATTAATGTTTATTACAGAGCTGTTTCAGGGGGAAAAACTTATTTTACTTTCTCTTGGGCACTTGCCACTAAAATGCGCAAGAGAAAACTAAAAGAGGGAGGAATACCCTTATAGGCACCCAAGAGTAAGGAGGCCTAATGTCAGGGTGGGTCTAGACTGCCCAGATTCTTGGTGTGAAGCACCTCACCTTGGCATGGAAAAATAATATAGACGTTTGGGTATAAGTATAACCTCCTGAGGGCTCACACATCTTGCTGTATTAACCCCAAGCAGGGCGGGCCTCTCCTCAAAGATCACTGTGAGCCGCGTGCCCAGCTCTCCATCCACACAAGAGCCGACAACAAGTACAGTGCCAACCCCTCAAGCAAGGCCCACGAGCCCCGCCACAAAGCGACACCAACCGCCACGAGGTACAACCCCAAGAACGTGCTATGAGCCCTGCGCATGCGCGCACCGGCTTTTCCAATCCGCCCCCAGAACTTATACCCCGCCCAGACTCAGACCAGAACGAGAACTTGTGCGCGTGCGCACTGCAGGGCTCTGGGGAGCGGAGCAGCAGCCCCAGGGTGCCCGATCCGAGGCACGAGGCCAGACTCCGGGGAAGCCCCGCCAGGTAGCGGAGCATCAGGAGCTATCCTGAGCTGTGGGTCAGAGGCAGCGAGCTCCTAGTTAGACTTTAGACTTTACTAGTGACCTGAAGCAGACACAAGCAACGTGAAGGCCAGCTGGCAGCCTCCCTGACCGGGAGGGTGGCCAGCGTCAGACTTCCAAGTGTCAATACCAGGAACCAGAGGCTATTAGCCAACCGGGGAGGAGGGGCCCCGTACGACTTCTGCCCTGGTCCTGGTTGTAAAGGCGCGAAGCTCGGTAAGAGGAAATTTTGTCAGAACAGGAAGAGCAGAAATAGCTGCGAAAGGGATGAAGCCCCGAGGCCTATAAAGTTCAGAACAGACACTTGGTGGAACCCTCGAACTGCAAGGCCGGGAGGGGCCCCTCAGACTGCTCACCCCACCCCGCCATGCACAGGTTGCATTCTCAAAGCACCACGTCGACTTTTGACACCATTCCAAAGGGTGAAAATATCCGAGAGGACCCGCAGCCAGGCACCCGGAGTCGCCACGCTGGAAACGGTCTCTCCTTACAAATCACGGCTATTTCTAGACAGCCCTGCAAGGCTTCTGCAGCCGGTGGGGGTGGGGGTGGGGGTCTGTGTGCTGCAGAACGCGGGCCCACTCCCCGCCTCGGCCACCACTCACTGTGGCCTCAGGCATGCCCAACTCTCACAGCGCTAGGTGTCCCCATTTGCCAACTGCAGGGAATGGGACCGGGCGACCCTACTCCGATAGCCCCTATGAAATGCGAGCGATCGCAACTCTGCGTGCTTCGTCTTCGCACGCACCATGCTCAGCGCAACCCCTGTACCCAGCATCTTCTTCGTAATCTGCTGGGTAGGCGCCCCACCCCATCCCATGGAAGCCACCTCTCCATCGTACCCGGGGAAAATGCCACCCACGCGGAGCACCAAAGGCTTCCTCACTCCCAGGAAGCCGCTCCGGACGCGCTGGGGCTTTGGTGGCTCCGGGAACCCGACCTCGAGTTTTGCGCTGGTAGGGGATGTCGAGTCCGGAGTTACCCTGCCCTCCGACTCGGGGTCTCCTTGTCCTCCAGCATCCACCCCAGCTCTCGACTCCCAAGTTGGGTGGGGCCAAAGGCTCGGTCCCCCAGCGCGGCCAGAGGTCACGGACGCCGCCTTAGAGCACAAGCTGAGCACGGTGAGCTCCGAGCCCACGCGTGGTGCAGCCACCGCCCAGGTCTCTGACCTCTGTTCCTAGGGATCGGAACCCACCCCCGCCCCCAGGACAGCCTAGCCGCAGGCAGCTGGCTCTCCCTCCCGCCCCCTCGGGCGCAGTGCAGCGCGCGGGGCCCGACGGTACCGGGAGTGCACGTGGGGCGGGCGTCGGGGCGCGCGGTCCTGAGGTCCGGACTCGGCGGCAGCAGCTCCGGCACTCAGCAGCACGCGGGAGGGGCCTTAAATGGAATCCCTCGGCTGACGTCAAGGGGGAGCCAGGCGGACGTGCGGGAACCCACG